CAACTGACACTGCAGAAATACAAAGGATCATGAGAGATTACTACAAGCAGCTATATGCCAATAAAGTGGACAACCTGGAAGAAGTGGACAAATTCTTAGAAAGGTATAAACTTCCAAGACTGAACCAGGAAGAAATAGAAAATGTGAACAGACCAATCACAAGCACTGAAATTGAGTCTCTGATTAAAAATTGTCCAACAAACAAAAGACCAGAACCAGATGGCTTCACAGGCGAATTCTATCAAACATTTAGAGAAGAGCTAACATTTATCCTTCTCAAATTTTTCCAAAATATAGCAGAGGGAGGAACATTCCCAACCTCATTCTATGAGGCCACCATCACCCTGATATGAAAACCAGAAAAAGATGTCACCAAAAAGGAAAACTACAGGCCAATATCACTGGTAAACACAGATGCAAAAATCCCCAACAAAATACTAGTAAATAGAATCCAACAGCACATTAAAAGGATCATATACCACCATAAAGTGGGGTTTATCCCAAGAATGCAAGAATTCTTCAATATACGCAAATCAATCAATGTGATAAACCATATTAACAAACTGAAGGATAAAAACCATATGATAATCTCAATAGATGCAGAAAAACTTTCGACAGAATTCAACACCCATTCATGATAAAAACTCTCCAGAAAGTTGGCATAGAGGGAACCTACATCAACATAATAAAGGGTATATATAACAACCCCACAGCCAACATCGCTCTCAATCGTGAAAAACTCAAACCATTTCCTCTAAGATCAGGAAGAAGACAAGGTTGTCCACTCTAACCACTATTATTCAACATAGTTTTGGAAGTTTTAGTCACAGCAATCAGAGAAGAAAAAGAATAAAAGGAATCCAGATCAGAAAGAAGAAGTAAAACTGTCACTATTTGCATATGACATGATACTATACATAGAGAATCCTAAAGATGCTACCAGAAAACTACTAGAGCTAATCAATAAATTTGGTAAAGTAGCAGGATACAAAATTAATGCACAGAATCTCTTGCATTCCTATACACTAATGATGAAAAATCTGAAACAGAAATTAAGGAAACACTCCCATTTTTCATTGCAACAAAAAGAATAAAATACCTAGGAATAAACCTACCTAAGGAGACAAAAGACCTGCATGCAGAAAACTATAAGACACTGATGAAAGAAATTAAAGACGATAGAAATAGATGGAGAGGTATACCATGTTCTTGGATTGGAAGAATAAACATTGTGAAAAAGCGTATACGACCCAAAGCTATCTACAGATTCAATGCAATCCCTATCAAACTACCAATGGCATTTTTCACAGAACTAGAGCAAAAAATTTTACAATTTGCATGGAAACACAAAAGACCCCAAATAGCCAAAGCAATCCTGAGAAAGAAAAACTGATATGAAAGGATCAGGCTCCCTGACTTCAGACTATTCTACAAAGCTACAGTAATGAAGACAGTTTGGTACTGGCACAAAAACAGAAATACAGATCAATGGAACAGCATAGAAAGCCCAGAGATCAACCCATGCACATATGGTCAACTTTTCTTTGACAAAGGAGGCAAGAATATACAAAACCTCTTCAATAAGTGGTGCTGGGGAAAATGGACAGCTACGTGGAAAAGAATGAAATTAGAACACTCCCAAACACCATACACAAAAATAAACTCAAAATGGATTAAAGTCCTAAATGTAAGGCCAGACACTGTAAAACTCTTAGAGAAAAACATAAGCAGAACACTCTATGACGTAAATCACAGCAAGATCCTTTTTGACCCACCTCTCAGAGAAATGGAAATAAAAATAAATATAAACAAATGGGACCTAATGAAACTTAAAAGCTTTTGCACAACAAAGGAAACCATAAACAAGATGAAGAGACAACCCTCAGAATGGGAGAAAATATTTGCCAATGAAGCAACTGACAAAGGATTAATCTCCAAAATATACAAGCAGCTCATGCAGCTCAATATCAAAATAACAAACAACCCAATCCAAAAATGGGCGGAAGACCTAAACAGACATTTCTCCAAAGAAGATGTACAGATTGCCAACAAACACATGAAAGGATGCTCAAGATCACTAATCATTAGATAAATGCAAATCAAAACTACAATGAGGTATCACCTCACACCAGTCAAAATGGCCATCATCAAAAAATCTACAAACAATAAATGCTGGAGAGGGTGTGGAGAAAAGGGTACCCTCTTGTACTTTTCATGGGAATGTAAATTGATACAGCCACTATAGAGAACAGTATGGAGATTCCTTAAAAAACTAAAAGTAGAACTACCATATGACCCAGGAATCCCACTAGTGGACATATACCCTGAGAAAACCATAATTCAAAAAGAGTTATGAACCACAATGTTCATTGCAGCAGTATTTACAATAGCCAGGACATTTAAGCAACCTAGGTGTCCATCAACAGATGAATGGATAAAGATGTGGCACATATATACAATGGAATATTACTCAGCCATAAAAAGAAATGAAATTCAGTTATTTGTAGTGAGGTGGATGGACTTAGAGTCTGTCATACAGAGTGAAGTAAGTGAGAAAGAAAAGAACAAATACCATATGCTAACACACATATATATATAGAATCTAAAAAAATTAAGAAAAAGGTTCTGATGAACCTAGGAGCAGGACAGGAATAAAGATGCAGATGTAGAGAATCGATTTGAGGACACGGGGAGGGGGAATCATAAGCTGGGAGAGTGTGAGTGAGTAGCACTGAAATATATACGCTACCAAATGTAAAAGAAAAAAATAGATAGCTAGTGGGAAGCAGCTGCATAGCACAGGGAGATTAGGCACGAAGTGCCTCCCTCGGTGCTTTGTGACCACCTGGAGGGGTGGGATAGGGAGGGTGAGAGGGAGGCACCTGAGGGAGGGGATATGGGGATATACGTATACATATAGCCGATTCACTTTGTTATATGGTTGAAACTAACACAATATTGTAAAGGAATTATACTCCAATAAAGATGTTTAAAAAAATCATGCAGATTCCACAGAAGGAAAACTCTGTGGGCACATGCAAGTTTGTCATCTCTTACAGAATAGGCTCACCCCTTTCTGTTAGATGACAGATGGAAGCAGACACTGTATCAGCAGTGTCCCTTTGAAGGTGGGCTGCAATTTGGGCAAGAAAGCTCCTCTGACCACTTCAAGATTGCTCTCTACCAGCCCTTCCTTGATTGAGGCCCTGGGGGTAAGACTCAAGTCACAGCCTGTGGTGCTCCCTGAGGCTCTGGCTGGCCCTGAGCCCTAAGCCTTATCTCATTAATGTGGCTGGACTGCCAAAAGCTTCCCCAAAGGCCTTTGCTTGGGTTTTAGCTCCTGTCCATACAGCTTCTAATTGAACTTTGGCTTGGATTTCCCTAGATGATTTATTAGTCAAACATTTACTAAGTTCAGCCACTTTGGGGCCTTTTTTCATGTTATTTATAAGCCCTTGGTTTACTCTAATTTTCTAAAACTTACATGAAAAGTTTGTCCATGTCTTGTCACCTCTGCATAGAGTTGTCATTCTACTTTGAATCATGCAAGAGATCTGTCTAATAACCATCTGGCTATTTACTGTCAGCACTCATCCCTCAGCATCTGTTAAGTAGGAGATTCACTTGTACACATGTCATTCCAAAGCCCACTATCCTAAGGGAAGAGGCATTAGGAAGGGGAGGCGTTTGGTTAAGTTGATGAAAGATGGACCCCATTACGCTGCCATCTGTGTCACAGGGCTTGTTGCAATTCTTCTGTGCTCATCTGTTGATTTAGACATTAATATTGTTTGACACCTGCCTAGTGTCAGAAATAAATCACAGGCTCATTTTTTTACCTAAATGTCATTGATTCAACCATGCAAACATATTTGTACACCCCTCATGTGTTTGAAAAGTGACCATTTTAACTGAATAGCTGCTTGGAAAATATTGGACAACATAGAATCAATGGCTATAAAAATAACTCTTGTATTGATAGCTTTAATAAAGCTTTTCACTGAAACCACTTTGATGACTTATTCCCCATAGTTGACCTTAGAGCCCTACAGGTAAACAGATGAGATGTGAGCTGCCAAAGTACACAGTAGCAGTCAACAGTAATCCAGGTTATCACAGGCACCTCTTTTCAAGCCATGTGATTACCTAAATACTTGCAGCTGAGATCATACTGTTAGAAATGACTCACTGAACAGCTGTCACTTCACTTCTGAAAGAGCAGTTTCCAATAGAGGAATCTTTAAAAGCTCATTTGTGACACGAGAAAAACTGGATAGAATATATTAAACTTTGATAGAGACCCAGATAACACCAATGTAGTTTTGCATTGTTCAAATTCCTTAAGCACCACTTAAAGTATCAAAAAATCATCTGCTAAATTAACCCAACACTTAGGTACATATCTTGGTGGTTATCAGTTTCTTATCTGCTAGTATAGAAATTTAGGTAAATTGTCACATTCAGTGCTTAATGTGAATCATTAAGTCTCTTCTCAGTCACTTCTTAGATCTCATGTTCATTTATTGTGCTTCACCCACTGCTACCATTCCAGAGTAAACTGTAGTTACTTTTTATCTCTAATCCTACTAACTGGATTCCTCATGTCAATTGAACTCTCTTTTATTTTCTTCAGACTGAAGCCAGAGTTCTCTTTTCATAACACAAATCTAATAATTTTATCTGCCTCTTATGTGTGCATGCCCATGTGCGCACACACACACATTATTAAACCTCATTACTTGCTTCTCATTGATCTCGGGGTAAGCACCAACATCTTTCCACAGTCTCTAAGGCCCTGGATGACCAGGACCATACCTGGATCTCCAAACTCATCTGGTGCTTTCCCTCCATCCTTCCCTCCCACAGCCACACAACCTTTTCCCCAATTGTTCATGCCTTCTTCACCATGAAGCTTTGTGGATGGTGTTTCCCCTGAAGACTCTATCAACCCCACAGTTAACGCTCACTCCTCCTGACCATCTCAAGCATCACTTCCTTTGGTGTCACTTTGGCAGCACATATACTAAAATTGGAACCATATAGAGAAAATTAACATGGCCCCTGGGCAAGGATAACATGCAAATCCATGAAGCGTTCCATATTTTTCTCACAGACTTAGAGACGAATTTATGGTTACCAGGGGGGAAGGGTGAGAGGGACGGATAGATTGGGATTTAGGATTGACATGTACACACTGCTATATTTAAAATAGATAAACAACAAGGACCTACTGTATAGCACAGGGAACTAGGCTCAATACTCTGTAATAACCTAAATTGTTTTCTCATAATAATTTGAAAAAGAATAGATACATGTATATGTATAACTGAATCACTTTGCTGTACACCTGAAACTAACACAACATTGTTAATAAATGATACTCCAATATAAAATAAAAATTTAAAAAGCATCACTTTTTTGGGAAGCCCTTCCTGCCTCTACTCTCCAGATTTGAGTTCCTCTGTAAAATCTTCTCAGAGAACTGAATTTCTTTCCTTCAGACCATTTAATTTAGAATAAAATAGCTTGTTTATTATTGTGTTTATTTAATTATATCTTCTTCACTACACTTTTTCTTCACTAGAAAATAGGCTGATGTGTTTTCCTTCTCTGTAAGGTTTTCCATTTTTATTACAGTGACACTAATAGAGTGGGTGCTCAAAATATATTTTGAATGAATGAATAAATGTGTCTTAATATAATGATGTGTCTTAATATAATGTTATATATTGTTACTAAAATATCACATTTTTAATAACTTTCATATTTAGTATGAATCTAGAATTATACATTCAGTCTAGTTGATAGTTTTATTTATTTAATTTTGAGCAAAGGTATGCATTTTATTTATTTATTTTTAAACATCCTTATTGCAGTATAATTGCTTTACAATGGTGTGTTAGTTTCTGCTTTATAACAAAGTGAATCAGCTATACATATACATATATCCTCATATCTATATTTCCTCCCTCTTGTGTCTCCCTCCCACCCTCCCTATCTCACTCCTCTAGGTGGTCACAGAGCACCGAGCTGATCTCCCTGTGCTATGTGGCTGCTTCCCACTAGCTATCTATTTTACATTTGGTAGTGTATATATGTCCATGCCACTCTCTCACTTTGTCCCAGCTTACCCTTCCCACTCCCCGTGTCTCAAGTCCAGTCTCTACGTCTGCATCTTTATTCCTGTCCTGCCCCTAGGTTCTTCAAAGCCATTTATTATTATTACTTTTTAGATTCCATATACATGTGTTAGCATGCAGTATTTGGTTTTCTTTCTGACTTACTTCACTCTGAATGACAGACTCTAGGTCCATCCACCTTACTACAAATAACTCAATTTCATTTCTTTATATGGCTGAGAAATATTCCATTGTATATATGTGCCACATCTTCTTATCCATTCATCTGTCGATGGACACTTTTAGGTTGCTTCCATGTCATGGCTATTGTAAATAGAGCTGCAATGAACATTGTGGTACATGACTCTTTTGGAATTATGGTTTTCTCAGGGTACATGTCCAGTAGAGGGATCGCTGGGTTGTATGGTAGTTCTACTTTTAGTTTTTTAAGGAACCTCCATACTGATCTCCATAGTGGCTGTATCAATTTACATTCCCACCAACAGTGCAAGAGGGCTCCTTTTCTCCACACCCTCGCCAGCATTTATTGTTTGTAGATTTTTTGATGATTGTCAGTCTGATTGGTGTGAGGTGATACCTCATTGTAGCTTTCATTTGCATTTCTCTAATGATTTGTGATGCTGAGCAACCTTTCATGTGTTTGTTGGCAGTCTGTATATCTTCTTTGGAGAAATGTCTATTTAGGTCTTCTGCCCATTTTTGGATTGGGTTGTTTGTTTTATTTTGATATTGAGCTGCATGAGCTGCTTGTAAATTTTGGAGATTAATCCTTTGTCAGTTGCTTCATTTGCAAATATTTTCTCCCATTCTGAGGGTTGTCTTTTTGTCTTGTTTATGGTTTCCTTTGTTGTGCAAAAGCTTTTAAGTCTCATTAGGTCCCATTTTTTTATTTTTGTTTTTATTTCCATTTCTCTAGGAGGTGGGTCAAAAAGTTTCTTGCTGTGATTTATGTCATAAAGTGTTCTGTCTATGTTTTCCTCTAAGAGTTTTATAGTGTCTGGCCTTACATTTAGGTCTTTAATCCATTTTGAGCTTATTTTTGTGTATGGTGTTAGGGAGTGTTCTAATTTCATCCTTTTCCATGTAGCTGTCCAGTTTTCCCAGCACGACTTATTGAAGAGGCTGTCTTTTCTCCATTGTATATTCTTTCCTCCTTTATCAAAAATACTAACTGATAGTTTTAAACATGGAAAAACTCAGGGGATATTTTTCCTGTGAATGCTACTTGAGGAGACTCTTGGAGAATAGATTTCTTCTAATCAAGACTTGCCAGCAAAATAAGGCAGAAAGATTGGCAATGAACTTTGTATATCTTAATTTTGAGACTAAAACAGATGTGGCAACTGGAGCCTGGATATAATAAAAATGTTATATGACCTGACAACGTAGGATTGATATGTATAATGAACAATCAAGGGGAGAGGTGAAAGAATGTGGAAGGAAGAACAGATTAATTGATTGCCTCATCTGAACAAGATGAACTGGGTAAGGGGAGAGGAATGTAGTAATTACAAAATTAATTGATAGATTATAAATATTTTTGAATCAGGAAAATGAAATAAAAGAATTCCCTTCTCTTCACTATTCTCCACTTCTGGAACCTCATTAACTTTTATTTGGTCTATCTCAATTGGGATTCTCAATCTCTCTTAACTTCTCTTTCATTTACTTTTCTATTTCATAATATTATGATATCATGTTCAGTGGATGGTTCTCCTTCTAGCCCAAATAAATACAATTTCATTTCAGAATAAATTATAAATTATATTATAAATTGCTACTTCTACTAATCTTCTGTTCACCTCATATCTTGAGGTTTATCTTTTTTTCAATGTAATTTGCACTTCCAAGATGTCCAATTGACTATTTTCATATTTTTTAGTCCTATATTAATATAACAGCATTATTATTTCCTTAATTACTTATTAATTGTGTTTGTATGGTTATTGAAATTAAGGAAGGAAATTGGTTTCATTTATGAGTTAATATATATGGATCATGGATATAAAGTAATCTATGAAATGAAGAAACAGAAATTCTCAGCCAGAAAGGCTATGCAATCTTAGCTCATCTGGGAAATTTCACAACTTTTGAGGAATTCCACAGGACTTGGAGTTGAGTATTTCATTAGATTTTATCGAACTCTCAAGAGAAAAGAGGAGGCCCAAACTAATGTGACAGTGTATTACAATTTCCTTATTATTCCAGTTTTTGCTTTTCATGTGGACAGGTAGTAACCATGGAGAACCAAATATATATTAAAAATTCACAAAAATGCCAGCCTTGTAGGAAAAATAGCTTATGTTAGGCCTAAAATTAAAAGCCATTCTATTGATTGTGAACAGCCTAAGAGCTACATGTAAGCTCTTCTTGCTCAAACTTGAGGCTCATGAGGTCTGCAAGTGAGGGACATGTATATCATCCACAATAATCTGATTTTTTGTCAGACAGTTGAAGACTCTGCCTTGTCAAGCTGCTGTGCATTTAATACAAGAAGACTTAAAATTCACACAAGTGAGCTTTAATTCCAAATCTCCTGCAAGATATACCTCTCAGATTCCAAATATGATAGTGTCTGAGCACATGACTTGGTATCAGAAACTGCCAAGCCTATCTTGAATTCAGTAATAAACCTTTCTAAGTCAACCAGCATGTCAGTCTTTTGGCAGATATTATAATTTTTATCAATGTTGAGAAATGCATTCCCTTGAGGGTCCATTGTCAATGACACATATGGAAAAGATTAAAGCAGTCATCCCCTCCCCCACTGAAGAATAATGCCCAGGCAGATTCAGTCCCACACAGATCAGTGAAGTGAGAGCTCTGCCAAGATATTATATTTATTGTGAATAAGTGTTTTATTTTTTCAAATGAAATAAAGACATTAATTCTTTTAGAATTCTTGAAAAATAATTTTTAATGGATAAATTTCCAGGTTTATCTGTTGAATTTCTTCATTACCCATTTAAGAAATAATGATATTGTCCATTAAGTTTCCGTTGACTTGTGGAAAGTGGAAAGGAGGAAACTTAAGCTCATTTGCCCATGTTTTAGGTTTCAGTTTGGTTGAGTGCAGATATTTACTGAAAAAAAAAATTCAGAGATAAGTGACTCCTGTTGCTATATTTCTGTTTTGAGCCTGTGTGACAGGAAAGCTAAAAAGTGAAAGCCATGTATTTTGTGAACCAGTAATGAACAATCAGAATTTGAAATTAAAAACACAATACATTTATATTAGAACCTCAAAATTGAAATACTTAGATATGAATCTAAAAAAATATGTATACAAGATCTGTACTGGGGAAACTTTAAAGCACTGATGAATGAAAACAAATGACTAAGTAAATGGAAAGATATTCCATGCATAGGAAAACTCAATATTGTCAAGTTACCAGATCTTCCAAGCTTGATCTATGCACTCAACACAATTCTAGTCAAAATTCCAGCAAGTTGTTTTGTATGCATTGATGTACAGATTCTAAAGTTTATTTGGAGACCCAGAATAGCTAACACAATATTGAAGGAGGAGAACAGAGTAAGAGAACTGACAACTCCAGATTTAAGGACTTACTATAAAGCTACAGAAATGAAGACAGAGTGATATTGATTTAAACAAAAAAAGATAGATTGATCGATCAATTGATGAAACAGAATAGAGAGCCCAAGATAGATCCACATAAATATAGTCAACTATGTCAATGTAGGTTCATAGGTTGTAGCAAATGTACCACTTAGGGGTAGGCTGTTGATAGTGGGGAAGGCTGTGCATTTGTGAGGATGAGGGTATATAGGAATTCTCTGTACTTTCTGCTCAATTTTCTGTGACCTAAAACTGCTTTAAAAATAGCCTATTTTCAAAAAATGTATACATTTTAATTTCATTTAATAAGAATGATCACAAAATAAAACATTAGAAATAGTAGTTAATGAACTATAACAATATATTACAATTAAGGTGGTTTAAAG